TAGGCATCCTCTGTAACTATATTTCAGACACTTAAGACTCCATTAAAGCCAGCTCTAAATGTTATAGAACCATTCTTCAATGCTTCTCAGTCAGAAACTGTTCATGTCAATAAATATGCATAAACACTACAGACAGAAACTTAAAACATAACAGAAAATTTATTTTTTAAAAAGCATCTGAAGTGGACACTATAAAATTCAAGCTGAAATTATAGCTTCTAATTAAGTATATACACACAAAAACTCTTTTGAATCAATTGTCCTTATCTTATATAGTTACCAGGAAAAGGCAAATATGAGTGTCAGAACCAGAGACCACTATCAACATTTCTTGCTCTGAATCTTAATAGATATAACCCCATATAAATGCAATGACTAGAAGCAACAATACTTCCAGCACATTGTCACATAACCTCATGCAGTGTGACATTATCCTCTAAACACAATGTAAGTCGCAAACAAGCTGATCAACATAGATGTTTCCTCATCAAATAAATGTCACCATTGTTGAAAATGTTGACAAGCAAGCTGACAAAAATGAAGCAACATACCATAACCAAGGAAGTGAATATTGTCAACAGTATGGATCCATGACAGAGATTTTCAAAAAAAGCAACTTTGAACAGTTTATGGTTATGAAACCAGGAAGAAGAAAGGCACAGAGTAATTCTATCACAAATTAGAATAATCACATCATTATCTGGTTGCTCAAATTAGAGTTTTCACACAAAAGCGATGCATGGCAGCATATAATATTTCCTGCTCTGAAATATTTTTGAACCGCACAATGTGAAGCATTCATCAGAAAATTCACTCAACAGTATAAGCAAATATTTGAATAAGCACATAATACCAAAAGAACCTTTAACTGGCTTATAAATTCACCTAAATTTGTGCTCAAGTTCTTGAATCTTGTGCTTTAAGTAGAAACTGCGATGATCAAGTGATTTGTAACGGTTTTCGCATATATTTCAGCCCACAACTTCGTTAAATCTGAACGACACCGAGTCCATTCATCTTGCTACTGCTTCAGACGGGTTAAACTTTGGTATGCAAGAGCTGGATTTTGCGCAATAGCCCATCATACAAGACCATGATCCCATACAAACGCTCAACCACACCTTAATTTAGAGCTGCAATACCGCAAAATCAGGAGAGATTAAGAAAAGAAATCAATCTTAGGCAAAGGGAAATAATTGTAATTCCGAAATCAGATATATTACAAACCTTAAAGTAATCCTTTATATGGAAGGGGGCCTCCAGATTGATTTTATTTTCATTGATGAGAGTCAAAAATTCTTCTGCACGCTTAGCAGTTGAGCTCACAGATTCTAACAGCATGTCCAGCTCAAATCTCAAATCATAATAAAAATTCAAATCACTTACTAAATGGGAAAAATCATATCCAATTCCATTCTTGACCAAGAAATTTTTTATAGATCCAATCCCAAAAGAATGAATAATAAAATAGATAATCACGTCTGTATAAAGTACATTAACACATAATATACAAAACTCTCTAGTTAAAATCCCCTTTCAACTCAATCATCTGAAACAGTTGAATGTCAAGCAAAGAGATATCAAAAAAAAGAAAGAAAGCCAGAATCATGCGATCAAATAAGTTCAATCAAACTATAGGATGAAACTTGAAAAAGTGGCGTGAATACAATCCCAAACCAAAGAGGAATACATTCTACCAACAATATCTAGAATCATTTGCAAATCTAAATCGGCTAATTGTTTCCGAGCACGTGCTCCGAAAGAAATTGTCGGTTCCAAAAATATCGAAAGCATGACTCAAAAACGGTCTAATAATAGGACCAAATCATAGAACAAGGCTTTTGTGAGTTAACATAATTCCAGCCCACAAAAGAAATGGGCCTTCAAAGTGCTTTAAGGCCCCATACAGTAGTAAGCACATAACTACATTAGGATACATTCTTCAAAACACTGCTATATCAATACAACGGACTACTAAGCATCACAGTCATACAGAAACAACAACTTTACAAGACAGAAGAGTAGTTGATGAATTTTATAAAACCGATATTCATTCACCATCGGAGTTGATGAGGAGTACTGGTTTCTCTGGAACATGTATGAACTTCACAATAAAACCAATGGCAATGCGAATGCTCCCAATGCAGTACAAGTTAACCATTGCCTCCAATTCAATCTCTCTGTAGAAGCAAACTTGTTTAGGAGCTCCACCACAGAAACTGAACAAGTATAGCTACTCCCATTAGTCCAAGGGACAATTTGTTCTTGTGAATGCCTCTGAAAACATTCGTTTCTCCAACTTCCTTGCATTGAAGAAACTGAAAACCTGGCAAAGAAAAAAGTATTGAACACCATTGTACCATTCACTTCAGGACTCACTTTGAAAATGGAGTCGCCCACAAATGTAAGATCAATAAGACTGCTATCTGATATAGGGCTTGAGATAGAAGATTCCTCCACATAATGTTTGTTATAATGGGTTCAGTAGGACCTTGAGAGGGCTCTTCAATAGCTCATCAGTTTGTCTTCAGTAGCCAGAGCCAAAGCTACAAGTGTATCCAAGATGATGTTCACCCATACCAACTGAACTGCTGTAGAGGAATCTTATTACCAGGAACAAAGCCTGCAACAACGTTGATCACTAGAGCGGCAATATTAAGGGTGAGTTGAAATTGGATAAACGTTTTGATGTATTATAAATACATCGTCCCACCTAAACAATAGCCACTGTAATGAATGCATCATCTAATATGACGATGTCTGAGCTTTGTTTACAAATTTCGCAGCCCTGAATACCCATCGAAAGTCTATGTCAGCTTGCTTTAGTGCAGGGGCATCGTTGATGTCGCTCCAGTGACTACAACCACATGGCCTTTCGCTCTCAAACACTGTACCTCGAAAGTTTGTCTGAGGGAGAAGACCTTGCCATTACCGGATCTTTCAACCTTTCCATTTTCTCGTTCGTGTATAGTTACGAAATTGTATGCCTTACCACCTCCTCATCATTTTCCGCTTGGCCATTGTACTGTAGTATTCCACATTCTGTGGCTATAGCTTTGCTGTGAAAACATTGTCCCCTGTGATCTTTGATGCCCAGTCCAGCTGATTTGCAAATTCCACACCTGTCTTTGCACCTGGTCGACATGGATCCTTAAGGGCAACTATTCCCAGCAAGTTAAGCCACTTCTCTCAGTGTTTGATGGGTCTTTCCATTTTTATTACTGCATTCTCTTTAAATATTTGTTTATGAGCAAAAGCTATGCATCTAAGGCCTTTAGCTGCCATGCCGGCGATCATATTTTCAGTTTTTTGCCTTTCATCTTCATCGATGGTCTTCGTTCCCCATCATTCTCATAAATTGTGAACACATAGCTAGGATCATCTCAGCAGCTCCTTTCCAGTGTACATGATTGTGTTATCATCTGTTTTCCTAATTGAAACCCCACTGCGTTTTTTTATAAGAGTTGAAGGTTTCAACCTGGAGAATAGTGTACTTTTGCTTCACTTTTTCCATGTTCATAGCCAATTCTTCGGTAGCAAAAATACAAGATATAAATATCATTTGTGTTACAATAATGATTCTAATAATATTCATCATCCATATAATTGATGGAGAGGCATGCATGTTGGTAAGTCTTATAGTATTTTATATATATATATATATATATAATTAATTCATTAATGTATATTTTACAATCTCAAAATACATGCTTCATAAATATTAAAAGAAAGAAAATAGAAGACTATATGAATTATCAAGAATTTAACATGTATTGTAAACAAGGAAACAATATTGAAAGTGTGCTTTTTATAAGTTTTGTCATATATATAACGAGTTAGTTTTAATATGGAACTTCAATAATATTTGTAGATATTATTAGTGGGGTTAATTAGATATTACACCGGATTAATTAATAGTATAGTACCCTTCATGTATAATTCATATGATGTCTTAGAGGGTGTTTGTCTAAGCTTATAAGCTTGTCAAACTTGCTTATAAGCTCTAAAATTAAGCTGACCTGTTTGTTTATAATTTTTTTGAGCTTATAAGTTGAGCTTATAAGCTAAAAAAAATAAGTTGGGGGGGAGGTACTTTTTTTTTTTTTGGCTTATAAGCACTTTGCTTATAAGCTAGTTTGACCAAGTATATTACTACATTATCCTTATTTAATTTTAAAATTCCATAGTGTGCCCTTGTTTAATGTAATATCTTTTTTAGTAATTTTATAATAAAATGTACTTATAAGCCACATTTTACCAAACACGTCAATTACTTATCAGTCACTTATAAGTACTTTAACCAAACACGTAATTGCTTAAAATTTCAAATGCTTATAAGTTAATTTTAGCTTATAAGCATATAAGCTAATTTTAATAAGCTCAGACAAACACCCCCTTAATTTGTTAATAACTTTATCATAATGGTGGTCAACCTAATTAATTAATCTTGAAAGCAAGGTGACAATAATCGTGCCTCTTTGGCTTAAATAATGAATTAATTCCGAAATGATTATCAATGCAAATTATATAAAACAAGAAAATTAACAATCTTTTTCATTATAATTTTACTGTTACATAAAATATAAACATATATATGATTTTCGAATACGAAAGAATGTAGAATGCATATCTAAAATATCAATTCATTCATGCATGTAGTAATTAGTTAAATAAATTAAAAATTACTCACAAATCGTGTTAACACATGCATAAATTAAATCAGTAAGAAATTAATTAATAGAAGTTTAGGGGGATTTAAACTTATTCATTAACTATATATATAATGTGACAAAATCGAAGTGAATCAAAACTTTGGTTTTAATCTTGATTCTTAGTTCCCATTTATTTTATTTTATTTTCTTATTTTATCAGTTCTTGTTAATCAGTTGGTCATAGCACACCTCATCTATCGCACAAAAAACAAACACACTTCTACTCCTTCCAATGATAAACGAAAGTTTTTTTTTTTTTTTTTTTTTTGGATATACATTGGTAGTACTCTAATTACGTTCATACCAACCTTCTTCCACCCCATGTTGTTTGATTCCAAAACCAAGAGCCAGGGCTGCCCATACTAGAAGAATACGTATGGCAGTGTCTTTAAAAGCACCAATCAGGAAATAGAGAAAGCCTTTTGGAGGTGGCTTATGGTAAGAGTTAGTACCAAAAATTTGAGACCTCCTAGTAATATCATCCTTGCGGCCGCTGATTCCATTGTAGGAACTTACTCCTAGAGAGGTAGCCACACCTTCAACTCCCCCAAGAACATGCAGATGCTTCAAGTCTTTGTTCTCCAAAATTGTTGGTGTTGTTTTATAAACAAAGGGGTCAAAGGAGTTGAGCACAACCTGGTTCTGAGAAATGGTAGGTTGAATCTCAAGGACAGGGTAACGAGGTGTGCCTCCATCGGACATGGTGTCTTGCTGATGAGGAAGCTGGAAATTAATTTCTATCTATTGATGCTGATGGTTTTTGGCCGGAGAATACAAAGAAAAGAAAAGAGGAACTAAAGAGAGTATATAGATGTCTGTATTCATTTCATTTAGACTGAATATATACAATAACTTAACCAACCAAACCGTCCACTTAACCAAACCGTCCACTGTTACAATAACTGCGCAGACATTTTCATATTTGAATTTAAATTCTATCAACCAATAAATCATACTCAAAATACGTCATTTCCATGACTTAATCACACCTAAGCCAAACAACTAAAGTGCACCAAAAAACTGCAGCCATGCACGTCAGACCAACTGCAGAAACAAACTTCAACTGGCACCAAAATATTCAAACTGCAACCTGGAAATTTGATGCATTTCCAGCAAGGTATCACTGCATCAACAGATGCAAAATGAACCACTTGAATCCAACGCACAGCTCAAAGTTCACTTGTGAATTTGCTGGTCGTTTGCAATGATGCTTCGATTTTTAAATGTCATTCAGTAGTTATCAGTGCAACTTCCTTGAATGTTCTATAATTGCCTTACAGTCACGCAACTCAATTTCCAATTCCAATTCAATAATTTTTATTTTCAAACTCTCAAACAATGCCTAACTTTTTTGAGCTTTCACATGCCTTACTTTTTTGAGCTTTCACCTTAGCAATACTATGGCTACCGGAAGGAACATACTGAATTCATGCCTTGAATGACGTGACGTAATTCTAACCGTCGATGAATATTAATTTATAATTAATCGACGGTCAGGATTACGCCACATCATTTGGTGTATAAATTTGGCACGCCACTTTTGGTGACTATATTATTTTCCCTTTCACCTACTGCTTCAGTATGATAACTAAAGCCTTTTTTTTTTTTTTTTTNCTTTTTTAGTAATTTTATAATAAAATGTACTTATAAGCCACATTTTACCAAACACGTCAATTACTTATCAGTCACTTATAAGTACTTTAACCAAACACGTAATTGCTTAAAATTTCAAATGCTTATAAGTTAATTTTAGCTTATAAGCATATAAGCTAATTTTAATAAGCTCAGACAAACACCCCCTTAATTTGTTAATAACTTTATCATAATGGTGGTCAACCTAATTAATTAATCTTGAAAGCAAGGTGACAATAATCGTGCCTCTTTGGCTTAAATAATGAATTAATTCCGAAATGATTATCAATGCAAATTATATAAAACAAGAAAATTAACAATCTTTTTCATTATAATTTTACTGTTACATAAAATATAAACATATATATGATTTTCGAATACGAAAGAATGTAGAATGCATATCTAAAATATCAATTCATTCATGCATGTAGTAATTAGTTAAATAAATTAAAAATTACTCACAAATCGTGTTAACACATGCATAAATTAAATCAGTAAGAAATTAATTAATAGAAGTTTAGGGGGATTTAAACTTATTCATTAACTATATATACAATGTGACAAAATGGAAGTGAATCAAAACTTTGGTTTTAATCTTGATTCTTAGTTCCCATTTATTTTATTTTATTTTCTTATTTTATCACTTCTTGTTAATGAGTTGGTCATAGCACACCTCATCTATCGCACTAAAAACAAACACACTTGCAAAATTTTTCATAAAATTTGACTTAAACATAGGAAGGATTATTTTGTTGTCTTGCTTTCCAATTGCATATGCATTTATAGGTGTCGAGCCGAGCCTAACCATGCTTGGTCAAGGTTGGTTTGACCTGCTCCAATTCTAGCCTTGCATAATTTTTTTTCACCCAGCATCATTTTTAATTACACAATTTTGCATACACAACTACTGTAAATGACAATATACCTAAAAAATAGCTATTGTTGTGAATCATTCATATATTTAGCATGCTAGTTTTGTAAGACATATTAAGTTATTTGAACTAAATTTCTTAGTTTAGTTCACTTGACATAATTAATGTTTGAGCAAAAATAAAATGTGATTTTGAGGCTATAACTAACAACTGTACACGCTAGCAGTAACTATACACCAAAATACAGGCCAAAACCTCAAAATATAGTTGTCCATTCATCAAAATATAGGTAGCTATACATCGGCTGTCTTCTACTGAAACCACCAGTTTCCTATGGCTGCAAACAAATTCAATTTAGTAAGTTTCTTTTTATATAAATATTCTAATCCATTGAGATCGTGTGGACCTTACTTTCAATTTTCCAATCCATCAAGCACTTGTACATGTGATTAGAAATGTCAACACCGCTACGAGGAGGAGGAAAATGAACAAAGTTGAGGACTTGTCTATTCAGCTTCCAATTATCATTGATCCAATGCCCAGTCAACATTATATACTCCATCTTCTGATTGCCTGAATTCCATAGATCTGTGGTCAAACTAATCTTTCTAACACTCTTCAACAGTGTCTTCAACTTCTGCTTCTCATTTTCGTATACCTTCACTCAATCATTTTTGCAGGTGTTACATGAAATTGAACTCCATTAAGGAATCGCATACTTCATCATGTTGTGCAATCCCTCTTCCTCCACAACCGTAAATTGATGCTTATACATAAGTACCCAATAGGCAATAAGTTCCCTCAATTTTAGCATATCGAACTAGCCTCTTAGAGCAGGTAGGATAGTAGATGCAACTTCATAACTGGTAGTGGGAAAATGATTTGTAGAACCCATGGACTAAAGCACTAGAAATTGAAGAATTGGTTTCATGGCTAAATTCGATCGATGTCAGCATGAAAGTCTGTAGCATGAAGCACTCGTGAATGTTGTCAATCGATTGGCGTTGATGTCTGTGTCATCTCCTATGGCAAGAAGAACAGAAAAATGTGGTGAGATTTTACAATTAAGGGATTTACAGATTTAACGGTTTAGGGTAAGTGTATTGTGATTTGGAAAATTTGATTTGGGGGATTAACTTCGTGTGTTACAACTAATTACATTGGGGGGTTAAATGTAGTTTTTACAAATTTTTAAAATTGAAGATAACACTCCAGTCCCCCAAAGTTTATAGAAATCACAAAAGTAACCCTACTTATGCGAGCCACCTCAAGCTTGCGAGCCTATTGGGCCGAGCCTCTCCCTAATCAAACTCGGCTCATTTTAATATGAGCTAGAATCGAGGTGACTCTACGAAGCTCAAGCTGAGCTATAAACGAGCTTTAGATGAGTCGAGTTGAGCCAGCTCGAAACTGATCAGCTCGTCTGACAACCCTATCTCCCACCCTACACATATGGTAGGCCCAATTAAAATATCTTTGTTTTGTTAAAAGGAAGAGAGAATGGCATTTTCCCACCTAAGGTTAGGCCTAAAGATACTTTCCCACCCGAAAGTTTCAAAAAGACACTTTCCCACTCATAATTAAGATCTGTTAGTAAAATTGGCTAACTAACATGGTATAAATAGTGTAAAGACGAAAATACCTTCCCTCTTCTTCTTACTCCTTCTTTCTTTTTCTTTTCCTTCTCTTTCTCTCCCCCTTCCTTTTTCGAAGACCCTATCTGGCCAAACTTTACCACTCCAATTCTTGAATGGTACATTGACCATTCTTTTAAGTACTTGCCCATATTGGACACCATTGTAGATGTACATAAAAGCGACTTCTTCTCTAAGGCATCTGTTGCCTTGCATCAAGGTGTGTAGTACTCCACGAAAGGCACGATCCAATTCTCATTCATGATATCTATGGAGACTTTAATTGGCTTGTTGGAAGTAAAAGCCGTTAAGTCCTATTCAGCACGCCTAAAGACCTCTTATGACAAGTTGGTTAGGGAGTTCTAACGGCGATGTTAGCGTCATTATCACCAAATACAGACCTAAACTCTTAAGGAGGCTTGTTGAATCCTTGACGTTTGTTCACACCTTCAATGAACAAAGCAATGTTATTCTCTGTGAAAAGCGCCTCATACACGTAGAAGTTGGTTTCCTGAGCTCCTTGGCGGAAGCTTCTTTATTAGAGATTCTTCTTCTTTCTCTAGATATTTCGTCAAAACTGGTTGAAAGAACTGCCATTGCCGGCAAAATCTTTTTGGCATATTTCATTTAAACAGTGTGAGATTCATAAACGCAAAACCCCTAAAAATCTAGCCTTAGAATTTTCTTTGGTTGAAAAAAAGGAAAATACAAACCGTCCACCATCCAAAAACTGCAAGACGATTGCAAGAACCTCTCAATCCGGAAAAAGAACTGAAGCAGACTTTAATTTATCAAAATCTTGAATTGAGGACTTTAATTTCTCTCTTCATGCCAGATCGGGCCACGAAAGTTTAGGCATATAGGGTATTGGAGAAGGGAAGGGGGAGAAAAAGAGAAGGAAGAGAAAAAGAGAAAAGGAGAAGAAATAAGAAAGGTTAAGAAAAAGAAAAGAGAAGGAGAATAGAGATGGCGAAGAGGAAAGAAGAAAAGAGATGAAGAAGAGAGAGAATATATTTTCATCTTTACACTGTTTATACCATGTCAGTTAACGAATTTTACTAACAAATCTTAACGATGAGTGAGAAAGTGTTGTTTTGAAACTTTTCCAGTGAGAAAGTGTCTTTAGGCCAAATGTTCGGGGGGGAAATTTCATTCTCTATTAAAAGAAATATGTGGACTCATTTAGGGATGTTCAAAACCGAGTGCCCGAAGCGGTTAGGTTTTTTTTTTTAACCAAAATGGAAATTCGATTCAGGCTATAAGCTGAACTGAATTCGAACTGGTTTGTAACTGATCTGGTTATGAACCAAACCGAATTTTTAGTTCGGTTTGATTCAAGCAAGTACCCGATTTTGAACCAAATTTGAAATCCCAAAATTACAATTCTACCCCTACTGTAGAATTAAAGATAAAGCACCTTTTTTTTTTTTTTTTTCTCTTCTTCTTCACCACCCGTTTCCCTCGATGTTACCTCCCACGTCCACCCTGATCTCCCCCACCCCACCCTCACCATTTTGGTCACCCCTCACATATTCACCTCACCTTCTTCCAGCCCCATTATTTACATCCATCACCATCCTAACTGATTTGTGCCTCACCATTTTGATTATTGTTGGTTGTCTAGATTTTAGAGATCTTTAGGTTTTCTGGTTTAATTTTGCTTGGGTTTCGGAGATACGTGTAGAAGAGAAGTGAAGAGGTAGTTGGATTTAAGAGATTTTTTATTAGAATGGTTGGGTTGTTTTCAATTTTAATTTTAGGCAAAAAAATGGCTCGATTTGGATAACCGATCTTTTGCATAGCTGAACAGAAAATCCAGGTTTTTCCTTTATTATAACTCAAAATTGAACCAGATTTTCGGGTACCTAGTTTCTCTAGTTTGGTTACCAGTTCCAATTCGTATTTTGTGTATTTTTTAAAACTTCTAGGTTCATCTTACACTTTTTTAAGCTCAACTTTTTTTTTTTTTTTTTAATAAGTTTAACCTTAATGAAAATTATAAAAAGTGATATTATAAGTTTTAAATATGGTCATACTCTATTTTATATTTGTTTAATCTTTAATATTAAATATTTACCTAACTTTAACTCTAAATTTTCATAATCATTAAAACCTTTTACTTTATGTCAAATATTTTTATTGATAGATCTAAAAACAAAAAAAGTAAGTCCGAAATATAAATTGGACAAAAGGGAAAACCTAATTAAGCAGATTGGTGTTATTTTGGCCTCATTAATTCTCTGTGTAGACCCCATTTTAAATAAAATTGATTTTCAAAAAGTAATTTTTAAAATTATTATAACTTATTCCAAGCTTATCCAGTCTACCTTAACCTTCCTTTTCTAAAACTCTGTCTTCATCTAGCATGGTTTTTGTTGATACGAAAATTCGCACTAATCAGAGTGATCTGATTTACCCTAACAAAATCGGAATAGATGTGTGCGTGATTTAATGAAAACCAGCAATTGAACAATTAAAGAGAAAATACAAGTAATGACAAGAGGCAATTTTTAAAGTGGTTCGGCAAGCTTGAATCTTGAGCCTACGTCCACTGTTTCTCTTATTAAATGAGAATTACAAATGATGAATCTTTTCCTAGAACAATTGCCCAGCCCCTATGAAAACAAGTTGCAATGGGTTTTATAGCACCCATTTATATGATAGAGTTGAGGTAAGATTCAAATACGTAAAATTAGGAAGTTGCATGATCTTCGACTACCTTAGTTGGAATATAAATCAATTTGAATATCTTCCTTCCAAATTGAGACAATCTAAACATCTTCATTACGAAGTTATCCTCTTCAGATTTCCCGCACAACACTTTATCTAGATATCCTCTCCGGATTTCTCGCACAGCACTTTATCTTCCTATTGACATAGGAAACGTGTATTGCCATTGCTATTAACTGCAACTTCTTCAACCACGACAAAGATCTTGGTGGGTTACGGCTTCGATTTTTTTTATTTTTTTAAACTCTAAAGCTTGAAAGGTGGGCGTCATTGTTGAACTAATTTTCTCACAGTTTAGGATAGGTTTATTAGATATTCAGCTTTGACTGCTTTAAAGATTATGATCCACAAAGTTTTTTGACCCACTTTCACTGAGATTCCGCCGAAAGATGAACCTCAATAAAATGTGGACTTAAGGTTCATTATTTAGATTTTCGTTGTTCAAAAACAATTGATGCAGGAAACATCATTCCAATGGTAGATGAAGTATGAGATTGACAACTTTTGGTTTATTAATCTGGATGGGGTATTTGTAATAAGTTTTAAACATCGGACATGGTTTTGTTGCTGACGTCATCAGTTTGATGTGATCCAGTCGCCTGAATGGGTCACCTCCCGGTTTGAGTTTCAGAACATTGTTATCTACTGCACGATGATAGCATGCATGTTAATTAGTTCAAATAAGTTGATTTAATTAGTGTGAATGGAAATGATTTAGATAGAAAAGCAAGCCCTCCACCGTCATAATTCTATATAAAGTTAAAGAAAATATTATCTTCAACAAAAATACAATCGTTTACAACCTCTTCTCACCAACTTTTTCTCACGACCCTGTCGTATCAGCTCACAATTTACCAGATGAGACCTATTTACGAGCTGACCAATCGTTAGCTGTCATGTCAGGATTGTGAGAGAAAGTTTGTGAGAAGAGATTGTGAGCATAGTATTACTCTATCTTCAATTATATAAAGAGGACAAGGAACTCTGAAAATATTCTTTTTCATTTTCTCTTTGTTGTAAAGCAAGCCTTATATAGTATAAAGTTCAAGAGAAGCCAACCCACCACCGTCATAATAAATTTATGTAAAGTTAACGAAAACAAGTTGCAGTATAGCACCAATTTATATGATAGAGTTGAGGTAAGATTCAAATGCGCAAAATTAGAAAGTTGCATGATCTTCAACTACCTCAGTTAGAATTTAAATCAATTTGAATATCTTCCTTCCAAATTGAGTCAATCTAGATATTTTGACTAGGAAGTTATCCTCTCCGGATTTCCCGCATAACACTTTATCTTCCTATTGACATAGGAAATTTGTATTGCCATCGCTATTAACTGCAACTTCTTCAACTTCAACACGACAAAGATCTTGGTGGGTTACGGCTTCGATTTTTTTTATTTTTTTAAACTCTAAAGCTTGAAAGGTGGGCGTCATTGTTGAACTAATTTTCTCACATAGGGTTTAGGATAGGTTTATTATATATTCAGCTTTGACTGCTTTAAAGATTATGATCCACAAAGTTTTTTGACCCACTTTCACTGAGATTCCCATGTGCTTTGGTAAAATGCTTAGGCGCCGAAAGATGAACCTCAATAAAATGTGGACTTAAGGTTCATTATTTAGATTTTCGTTGTTCAAAAACAATTAATGCAGGAAACATCATTCCAATGGTAGATGAAGTATGAGATTGACAACTTTTGGTTTATTAATCTGGATGGGGTATTTGTAAGAATTTTTAAACATCGGACATGGTCTGACTGCCCAAACCGTGACCCAGTCGCCTAAATGGGTCACCTCCTGGTTCGGGTTTCAGAACATTACTATCTACTACATGATGATAGCATGCATGTTAATTAGTTTAGATAAGTTGATTTAATTAGTGCGAATGGAAATGATTTAGATAGAAAACCAAGCCCTCCACCGTCATAATTATTTATAAAGTTAAGGAAAATATTATCTTTAAAAAAAATACTATCATTTACAACCTCTTCTCACCAACTTTTTCTCACGATCTTGTCGTGTCAGTTCACGATTGATCAACTCACAATTTATCAGATGAGATCTATTTACAAACTGACCAATCGCTAATTACCACGTCATGATTGTGATAGAAAGTTTATGAGAAGAGATTATGAGTGTAATATTACTCTATCTTCAATTATATAAAGAGGACCAGGATCTCTAAAATATTCTTTTTCATTTTCTCTTTGTTGTAAAGCAAGCCTTACATCGTGTAAAGTTCAAGAAAAGCCAACCCACCCCCCCACCGCCATAAAATATTTATGTAAAGTTAAAGAAAATTTTGTCACTTGTATCAATCCATTAATACATCCACTAACCAAAAACTTTATAAGGTTAAAGATGAAGATGAAGCTTTTCCGATTATTACAATATAAAATCAAGACTGCAATCTTCTTACTGAGTAAACCCAAAAAGGAAACAAAAATTTAAACTTGATTGATCGTTGAATGAGTATTAGTATCTGGTCTCCTTTGGAGGTTAACTAAAGAGTAGTAAGCTCCTATGGATCCTTTGGCCAACAAAGAATGATGGTTCCCTTTCTCGATGACCTGCCCTTTGTCTAATACAGCAATGAGATCACAATTTTTCCGTATATATATCTATGTGTGTGTGTGTGTGTGTGTGTGTGTGTGTGTGATATTCTTTTTAATTGTATTTTCGTGTTTTCTGTTAAGTCAAAAGGTAATACTTACTGGCCACCAACAGCAATGGCGGCGGCCACAGCATAGACAGTTCCTCCCTTAGCACCATGGCACATGACCATTCTACCGTCGTAATAAGCTAAGAAAGACCAAATTGCATAAATGATGTTGTTGCTTCCAACAGCCCAGCCTTTAGCCAAGCCTTGCTTTACCCCCAAATTGACTAAGCTTTCAAGGGCCGAAGAGAAATCGTTGATGGTTTTGGTTTCACCAACAAATGAATAAACAGTTCTTATAGAAGAGATTGCCTGTTCCGCAATTTTTCCAGCCTTGTTGTACTCTGCTGCCATCTTCCTTGCTAAATCCATCACAGCTCTTCCACAAATCATTCAAGGAATCACCAGAAGCAGAGCAGTGGGAAATATAACAATGGTTAACCTCCATGACATCAAGAATCCTACCACATAGCTTCCAATAAATGTTGCAGCATTGGCCAAAAATTTTGGGAGCTGTCACAGATTCAGAGAGTTAATTCGTCACATATTTCAAATAGTTCTCTCATACATTTGCATCTTTTGCTAGTCGGGAGCAAATAGGACCACTAGATGCTTCATCTTTATCAAACCATCCAACTTCAAAAGTGAGTATCTTTTAAAGCATCCTCTCTCTGATCCTCTTGGTTAAGCGTTCACCCATGTAAGAAAAATTGTAATGTTGGCATAAATTAACCAATGAAGTGAACACTGCTAACTTTCTCCTTAATCTCATCAGTGATCTTTTAAGAAAAAAACATTTACCGTAGACCCAGTGATAAAGGAATAAACAGGTTGCACAGCACCGGACAAGATTGCACTTAAACAACCCAAGCTTGCTTGCTTCTGTTCTGGTAGATTCAACGTGAACAATCTTCTAAACAATGGCGCTGGCAACTTGATCTTGTAGTCATCTGCCTTGCTCTTTCTTAGATCATCATCATCATCATCTCTTCTGGGGTTTAAATCCAAGCTTGATTTGAAAGATGAGCCATTCATGGATGAAGAAGTAAGGTTTATCAACACAGTCTCGTCTGGGGTTATTAACTTAGCTCTTTTTCAGTTTGTTGAAGAAGGTAGTCCATCGCTTCATTGCCTTATTCACCCGTTCCTTGATGGAGCACATCTCTTCACATGAATATGAATATTGAACAAGTTTATATAAATCTTCATGAATGCTGAGGTAAGAGTATACATATTCCTGGTGTGGAATTACAGGTTGCTGGTGTCCAGCAGCAATAGCAAAAAGAACATTGTCCTCTGCCAGTTTATTCTCTTTCAACTCCTTAATTTCAGCCACCAAAGCTGCAAATTAAATAAGGACTTTGAGAAAAAGAGCAAAGTGGAAACAATACGTAGAAGCAACTCTAGGCATCCTCTGTAAACTATATTTCAGACACTTAAGACTCCATTAAAGCCAGCTCTGATTCTCAGTCAGAAACTCTTACATGTCAATAAATACTGTATAAACATTACAGACAGAAACTTAAAACATAACAGAAACTTTATTTTTATAAAAAGCATCTGAAGTGGACACTATATAAAATTCAAGCTGAAATTCTAGCTTCTAATTAAGTATATAAACACAAGAACTCTTTTAAATCAACTGTCACTTATCTTATAATAGTTAACCAGGGAAAAGGCAAATATGAGTGTAAGAACCAGAGACTACTATCAACATTTCTTGCTTTGAAATCTTAATAGATATAAACCCGTATAGATGCAATGAATAGAAGCAATAATACTTCCAGCACAATTGTCACATAACCTCATGCAGTGTAACATTATCCTCTAAACATTCAATGTAAGTCGCAAACAAAGCTGATCAAACACAGATGTTTGCCTCATCATATTTAAATGTCACCATTGTTGAAAATGTTGACAAGCATGATGACAAAAATGAAGCAACATACCATAACCAAGGGGAGTGAATATTATCAACAGTTTTGGATCCATGACAGAGATTATCAAAAAAAGCAACTTTGAACAGTTTATGGTTATGAAACCAGGAAGAAGAAAGGCACAGAGTAATTCTATCACAAATTAGTAATAATCACATCATTATCTGGTTGCTCAAATTGAGAATTTTCACACAAAAGCGATGCATGGCAACATAATAATATTTCCATGCTCTGAAATATTTTTGAACCACACAATGTGAAACTTTACATCAGAAAATTCACTCAACAGTCTAAGCAAATATTTGAGTAAGCACATAATACCAACAAATAACCTTTAACTTGCTATAAGATTCAACTTACATTTGGTGCTCAAGTTCTTTGAATCTTGTCGCTTGAAGTAGAAACTGCGATGATCAAGCGATTTGTAATGGTTTTCAGCATATATTTCAGCCCAAACCTTGTTAAAATCTGAACAACGCCGAGTCAATTCATCTTGCTTATGCTTCAGACGAGTTAAGATAACTGGTAGTGCAAGAGCTGGATTTTTGCACAATATGTCCATCATATCAAGACCATGATCACCATACAAACGCTCAACACACCTTAAATTTAGAGCTGCAATACAACAGAAATCAGGGAGAGAGTAAGAAAAGAAAATCAATCTCAGGCAAAGGGAAACAAATTGTAATTCCGAAATCAGATATATTACAAACCATTAAAGTAATCCTTTATATAATACAAACCATTAAAGTCTTTAGCTATTATCAATCAGCTTATACTACATCGAGTACAGAACAAACTATTCTTTGATTTACAGGTTATTTAAGAACACCTATCAAGATAATAAAGAAGAGGGAAAAAAAGAAGAAGAAGCATATACAACGTTTTACGTACTTTTACTCATCACGCGAGCAAGGAATCCATCTGCAAGAATGATCTTGATCAGAAACAACTTTCAGAAAAAAGAATCTAGAGCAAATAGCTTATGCTACTGATAATTTTCAACAATTACCAATATTCTCACAACGCTCGAAGAAATGATTGAATTCAGCCATAAGATCTGGATACTTCCCAAGTAAATCAGTAACCTAAAATGAAAAGGGCAAAAGGCATTTAAGTTACCATAAAATCATAGAAATGACAATGGATTACTATGGTAAAGGTTAAAAGTGAAATTCCGACCCGTTGGAGTCACCTCTGTGAACCGTGTCTGATCGAGGTCCCGATTGGCTGGTTGCTCGTTTCTTAATTCAATCACGTTCTGTGGCACGGCCTATGCAACCACCGTTCTTATCATCTCCATCAGTCAGACGTTTTCAGGATTCGAGGTCCCTACCCGGGTTGATTTGAGACCTGCTACGTCGGCGGCACTGGTGATCAGCGTGCAGCAGCATCCTAATGTACCTCCTAGTGGGCGACTTCCGCATTGTCGTGGTTTCCAGCGGTGGTTTTAGATCTGGTACGAACCATTGTGAATCTCAGGTGATTGGTTGTCATTGGAATTGTTAGCAGGAAGTGTTAATAGTAGAGTTCTAGCGCCAAAACGTTGATACAATAATTACACAAACTAAGTGATCTCATTGACAGTGGAATCGGAATCGATATGCATGATTAAAGATAACTAGCAAGTAATATAAATGTAAATGTCAGTTAGACTTGGTAAAATGGGTCTAGATCCGCGGGTTGACCCTAAACTCGGGTAAAAAATATAGGAGGTGGGTCTTTAATATTAGACCTGTTTTTCTTCTACCCGTACCTGTCCTAACCCGTTCTCCAACGGGTTGAGGGGGTACACCCGTGGGTGCCCGCGGGCACCCATTTGTTTTTACCCTTTTCATTTTGAAGGGATACCCTAAATTCTAAATTGGGGTTTGGCCATGATTTTGCCCCAAATCGCAAAATCCCTAACTCTCTCAAACTCATCGTCGCCACTTCTTCTCCTCTCAAACTCATCATCGGCATTTCTCCTGTCTTCGTTTCGCTTCCCCTCTATCACAGTCGTCCCTTCTTCGTTAACTTCTCGCGCCTTTTTTTGTGACCTAGATTCGCCGTCGTCGTTTTGCCCCAGTTTCCTCTTCTCTTGCTCTGTTCTTTTACCTTCAGACATCTTCGACAGTTGTGTATAATCTGAGGTGTATTTTTGTAAGTCTCTTGTATTATATTTGTGAAGAGAGAGGCGGAACTCAGAAGTTGATATTCGTGGCAGTGACCAGTGATGAGGCAGGGGCAGTGATCAGTGATGAGGCAGGGGCAGCAGGTGGCATGTGGGACGTGGGGAGTGGAAGTGGGTGGAAGTGGAGGTGATTAAAGTCAAAGTTAGGTTTTGGTTGGGATGAAGACTGAAGAGTGGAGAATCTACGGTAAAAGTTTCAAAAACTGAACAGTAAAAGAGGATACTCAGATCTGTTCAAACTTTGCTTGTTTGTAGAGTCAAATCATTCTCAAACTGTTGCTTTTCTTCTGTAAATTTTTTCTTTTTTTAGATTTTTTTATTTGGGTTTATTTGGTTGATGAGGAATGAAAGGACAATCAATAAAGTTTTTTAATCTTTTTCTTTGTTAGGTTATGGGTTTCTGTTTGGCTAGTGAGAAAACTTGGGAGAAAACGTGGGTTTCTTTTTTCTGTTTAGTTGGTGACAAATTTTGCTCAAAAATGAAGATTTTAGGAAGATTTGGAATGTAACTGCAAAAATTAAAACTGAAGTGAACAGTACGGGCACCCGCGGGTCCACCCATACCCGTATAGGGTAGGTTGCGGGTCCAAAATATTAGGCCCGTTTAAATCGACCTGTTTTAGGCCCGTACCCATGAGACCCAACCCGTACTCGGCCCACCCGCCTGTTTTGCCAGGTCTAATGTTAGTCAAGTAAAAAACACAAAAGCTTTTAAAGTGGTTCAGTAAGTTTGAATCTTCAGTCTATATCCACTGTTTTTCTTATTACTTAGAGAGCTTAGAAGAAAATAATATTATGCCTAAATAATTTGGTAACATCTTGTCTATTGTTGGAAGGGGTTTATATACAAGTTTTTTTACAAAGGAAAGACCGAAATTAAAGAATTACAATCAAGATTAAAGTTCAACTCCAATATTCTTGCGATTAAGCTCTAAGATCGCATTATCATTACTATTGTTTTGATCTCTTCCAACATATCCATGATTTGAGCTTATCTATGATCTGCTCGAACAACTGTCAAGATTGATCATGGCTAGCTTATGCTAGGCCGATCTATATCTTGAAAAGCTTATGCTGGGTTAGATAATTATTGAGTCGAACTGATTCTGGGTCAAACTACAACCTCGTAGAACTCCAACTTTTCTGAGCTTAACAGAAAATCATACACAACAGTATACATGTGCCTTTTGTCTTTATATAATTTCTTCCAAAATGACTCTTGTCGATGCAAACAAAACTAAAAATTATTATTCTCTAATTATTTTTCTAATATCGCCTTTGAGGGGTACAAAGATGGAGTAATGGTTTTTTTTTTTTTTATACAGAGAAAAATAATGGTTGAAGCTCAAATGTATGCTCAGCTCACATATATCCAATCTCTTTATTTTATACTTTTGAACTTAATGTAATGAATACTTTTGCAAGTTACCTTGATACATAGAAAACTCCCATCCATCTTGATCCTTTATTTTGATAAAGGTGGGACATGTGTTATCAATGTTTTAAAACCCAACTCAGGGTGCAACCCGGCAAAGTTTTCGGGTCCTGGGTTGACCCGTTGACAAATTTTTTTAAAATTCAGCAAATACACCCCTAAAAATTACATGTAAGTCCCTATATGTTTGAACTTTATCAAACACACCCTAAATGCAAATCAATCGGTGACCGATTGGTGGCAGCGACACCCCAGATGTAACCCAATCATCCCCTGAGCCCATTTCCACTAAAATCTACCCAAGATCTGGCCGAAATAGGTTCGATTTCGGCCATATCTCACCGACGCTGGCGTGGGTATTCTAGGCCAGATCTCATCCACGCCGGCGACGACAACCCTACCCATCACCTAGGAATCACTCCCCTCCTCCTCTCGACCAAAACCCACCTCACCCCACCCCCATTAGCCTCTCCAATTGCCAGCGAAATCCCATCGTTGCCGCTACCAGATTTGTTCGATTTTCGGTCGATTTACTCACTAAAAATTAACGATGTCACCACCATTACATTCACCGGCGCTTTATCTTCAAAAGCCCTAAGGTTCCGACGGTCAATTGCTCGCCGATCACCCACCCAAGTCCTAGGATTTTGGGTGAATAGGAAAAGTATAAACCCGGCCCGTTGAAGCTTCCGAGTCTCGGTTCAACCGGTTCAATCGGCCAGGTCGGGCTGCGTTTTAAAACAATGTGTGTTATATAATATCTCTTTGAGACAGTTTGGGTTTTGACAGCTAATACCACTTTGTCTTTAAGTACTTGTTGAGCTCTGATTGGTGATGTTGACATCTGTGTGTATTTTTTGCATAAGAGATTCATATAAATTTGCTCAACAAAAATTAAACAATATTTTAGTCATGTTATAAGAGGTTTAAATGAAAGAAAAAAATATTTCAAACGAAGAAGATAAAACCGATCAAAGCTGATCAAATAAGTTCAATCAAACTATAGCATGAAACTTGCAAGGTGGCGCGATTACAAGCCCAAACCCAAACCCAAAGAGGAATACATTCGACCAACGAATAATCTAGAATCATTTGCAAATCTACATCGGCTAATTGTTTCCGAGCAACCGCTCCTAAAGAAATTTCTCAGTTGCAAAATATATCGAAAATATAACTCACAAACTCTGTCTAAAAATAGGACCAAATAGAACAAGGCTTTTGTGAGTTGCACAGCAGCCCACAAAAGAAAATGGGCCTTCAAAGTGCTTTCAGGGCCCAATACAATAGTAAGCACGTAACTACATTATGATACATTACTTCAAAACACTGCTATATCAATACATGTTGACTACTTAGTATCACAGTCATTTAGAAACAACAACTTTACAAGACAGAATATTAGTTTGATGTATTTTATAAAACCGAGATCCAATTCACCATCGGAGTTGATGAGGAGTACTGGTTTCTCTGGAACATGGATGAACTTCACAATAAAACCAATTGGCAATGAGAATGCTCCCAATGCAATACAAGTTAACCATTGCCTCCAATTCAATCTCTCTCTAGAAGCAAACTTGTTTAGGAGCTCCACTGTCAGAAACTGAACAAGTAGAGCTACTCCCACTAGTCCAAGGAACAATTTGTTCTTGTGAATGCCTCTGAAAACATTCGTTTTCTCCAACTTCCTTGCATTGAAGAAACTGAAAACCTGGCAAAGAAAAAAAGTATTGAACACCATTGTACCATTCACTTCAGGACTCACTTTGAACATGGACTCGCCCACAAATTGTAAGATCAATAAGACTGCTATCTGATATAGGGCTTGAGATAGAAGATTTCTCCACATAATGTTTGTTATAATGGGTTCAGTACGACCTTGAGGAGGGCTCTTCATTAGCTCATCAGTTGGCCTTTCAGTAGCCAGAGCCAAAGCTACAAGTGTATCCAAGATGATGTTCACCCATACCAATTGAACTGCTGTTAGAGGAATCTTATTACCAGGAACAAAGCCTGCAACAACATTGATCACTAGAGCTGCAATATTAATGGTGAGTTGAAATTGGATAAACGTTTTGATGTTATTATTAAAACATCGTCCCCACTTTAGAGTAGTAGCCACTGTAGTGAATTTATCATCTATTATGACGATTTCTGAGTTTTCTTTAGCAATTTCGCAGCCCTGAATACCCATCGAAAGTCCTATATCAGCTTCATGTAGTGCAGGGGCATCGTTGGTGCCATCTCCAGTGACTACAACCACATGGCCTTTCTCTCTCAAACACTGTACCATCAAAAATTTGTCTAAGGGAGAAGACCTTGCCATTACCCGAATCTTATCAACCTTTTCCGTTCTCTCTTCCGGTGTATAGTTACGTAATTGTATGCCTTCTACTACCTCCTCATCTTTTTTCGCTTGGTCTTTTTACTGTAGTATTCCACATTCTTTGGCTATAGCTTTTGCTGTGAAAACATTGTCCCCTGTGATCATTTTGATGCCCAGTCCGGCTGATTTGCAAATTTCCACATCTGTCTTTACACCTGGTCGACATGGATCCTTAAGGGAAACTATTCCCAGCAAGGTTAAGTCATCTTCTCTCAGTGTTTGATGGGTGTTTCCATCTTCATTATACTGCATTTCTTCTTTAAATATTTTTTTATGAGCAAAAGCTATGCATCTAAGGCCTTTAGCTGCCATGCTGCCGATCATATTTTCTGTTTTTTGCCTTTCATCTTCATCCATGGTCTTTGTTACCCCATTATTCTCATAATATTGTGAACACATAGCTAGGATCATCTCAGCAGCTCCTTTCCAGTGTACATGAATTGTGTTATCATCTGTTTTCCTAATTGAAACCCCACTGCGTTTTTTATCAGAGTTGAAGTTTTCAACCTGGAGAATGGTGTACTTTTGCTTCACTTTTTGCATGTTCATACCCAATTCTTGGGTAGCCCACGAAAGAATTGCTTTCTCTGTTGAACTACCAGAAA